CCCCCCCCCCCCCCCCCAGGCGCAGAGAACGGCTCGAAGACAGAGAATGAATAAGCTAATAATTTTGCGCTACGCGCACGACACTCCCAGGGCACCGGCGATCCATTTTACAAAAAGGGCGAGCTGCTCCCTGAAAACTTTGAAAAGGCCATCAAGGAAGCCGGCATCAGCGGCACGACGGTTCGATACCAAGATGTGAGTACAAGACGCCAATCTACATTTATCGCCCAGACTGTGCGGCAACTGTGCTGACAAGGTGCCCAGGACTACGACCACTCCTACTTCTTCGTGCAGACTTTTGGCGAGGACCATGTAAAGCATGCGGCCAAGGCTCTCGGCTTGCTATAAAAAGATGGCTGGGCCACATCTTTGGCGATACACACGAGTTGCGCAATGTTGAGACAAACACATAAAGGCCGGCCATGCGGACGAGTAACGTCGCGGGATTGAGAATATTGAAGGAGGCCCTCTAGCTATAGCAAAAGCAACTCCGAATACCACATAATCATCTCTTCATTTCTGTCCGTCACAGTGTCTACTACATGATACAATCGTTTCCTTGCCCCAGCTCAATGTGAAAGGATGCTTACTCGGGGTGCAAGGCCAAAGCAACGCCGGCTTCTGCATTAAACATAAAAGAGTCCTTTTTCAATAACTAAACACTTTTCTCTCAAAGACGGGGCTGAGGCCATCCTTTTCCAGCTGCGCCCGAATTTCGGCGTCGGCGTCCCTTCGAATACGATTAAAGGCGAGCTTTTCAAACCTGCTCAGGCTCTTCCACCAGTGCTGCCCGGCTTCGTGCTCCGCTATCCGTCCCAGCAGCTCCGTGGTCTTCAGACGGACATCCTTTTCTTTGTGGAACAGACCGAGCGCGAGATAAAAGAGCCCGGCATGCGACTCGGGAGCGACGGAAAGGAAGAGGCAAATTTCGTCGTACGAGTGAATATATTTGGAAAGTGTCAGATAGATGTCGCGGCTTTGAGATGGGTTTAGTCGCTGCATGCGGAGGCGGTCGTGCAGGTGCGCGAGATCGAGGCCCTTGAGCGGTCTCACCGTGTATACTTGTGCAAGGTCCTGGGTGTTTTCGTCAGCTTTTTTCCTTCCAAATGGGCTCTCACCTGCCTGCCCGCCCTCGTGCAACGGCCCTTACCTGAATGAAACTATAGTAACTTCGGGTATTGCGCCAGCCTTCGATTCGAGTCACATTTCCAGCCAATTCCTTATTTTTGGCCGCATCATCTGACCATACGTAGCCATGACCCGTCGCTCCCGGCGGAAGCATATTCTGCTCCTCGGTGCCGACGAAAAGAGCGCTTGCACCATATACACTCTCTTCAAACTGTGCCGACACTCTTGTGAATTTGAGCACCCAATCGCGCCACTTTGCTCGCACCGTTCGCTCGCCATGGCGGGCCGCAATGCTCCGTAGAATATCAGCCATAAACACTTGATCGCCAGTCAGGTCCTGCGTATTATTCACCGTACCGCTAGCGACAGTAGCCAGGGCCGGGTTCTGCTGTTGAAAGTATACTAGCCCCTCTGTTATGGGGGCTGGCTCAATCTTGCTACTAATCTTGATGCGCCCCGAAGGCAAGTCGCACAAAACGTCCCACCACTCCGGATGTAGCTCAAATGTAGGATTCGTTACACCCGCAATGAATCCAGGCACGTTGAGAAGATCGTCAATCTTGGTGAGGTCGGTGTATGGAAAGGCATGGCGCGTGAAGCCACGCAAAACGCCGCCGGAAGCAAGCGCGCAAGCTGCCAGAACGGCTTCGGCCACTTCCCCAGAGGGCATATTGTGTCCAAGAAAAATCACGCGCTTCTGCGTCAACAGGCCGTTGATCAGCACGATAATGGGATGTGTATTAGCACCACTGGTTGTGAGGTGTGGGTGAATCGGAAAAGGTTGCGGCGACTTCGCATGGGTTTCCGAAAAGTTCTGGATTAGTTTGACTAGGGAAAAGTCTCCGACAGTCTCTGGCATTACCGCGGTGGGTACTTTGATGGGAATTGGGATGCCCTTGTACATGACGTGGCTCTCAAACTCGTGTGTGTCGCGTGGTACAGAGTAGGCTGACTGGCTTCCGACCTCGATGTGAGCTTTGGTGCCTTTGCGGGAAACTTCTGTCGGATGAGCGCCGTTGCTATTGGTCGCTTCCCCTCGGTCCTCGGCCATGCGAGCTTGAATCATTCGCTCAAACTTTTCGACAAACAAATCTCTGTTCTCGCTACCAAGCAGCAGGTGGCGCTCTAGCAGGCTGAGCTTTGGCATTAACGACAAGTCCATCTCATTCACCGCATCGTAGAGCATGGATAGCGTCTCTGGTACGGGAGATTTGAAATATTCTTCTAGAGCCAAAAGAAGCAAAGGCTGGTCAAGTTAGTAACGGCAGATCGATCTTAGAGTAGGCAAATGAGAAAAGGTAGCGTACCTTGTAGATGTGTAGAAACGGATGTCTCGTACAAATGGCCATAGCTTTAACGACAGCGCCACGTTTCACACTCTTATCATGCTTTGTGTTGACCAGATTAAGTACGTATATGAGGGGCGGACCTTCACCACCTTCGGGTTCTGTGTCGCTATCGTCATCCTCATCATCGTCATCGTCGTCATATTCGTCGTCGCTGTCTTGTGAGTCATCATGGTCTTGTTCGGAAGGAACGATTCCAGCCGCGAGCGCTCTACGCTTGTTCCGGCGCCTCCGGCGCCTCTCTTTGCGTTTCCTTTCTTCATCTTCCTCTTCATCACTCATGTCCTTGTGCAGAAAGAATATGGTCCAGTCTTGGTTCCTGGCATGCGCTTGATCTGGAAGCATGAGCTCTGCCAGCATATTTTCATCTCCGGTAATAGCGACCGGGTACTGGTGCTCCATGACAGGGCCCCGATCGATATCGAAGGAAGCTACCAAAATATATTCTACATGGTTGTCGCTAGAGCCCCGGGGATACTGAGACCGCAGCCTCCTGGAGTTTTGAGCATCAGCATTCAAGCGTCGAGGGGCGGAGAAAGATGAATGTTGCGAGGAGTGCTCAAGAGACGAGGTTTTGGACCGCAATTCCGGATCCGAAGACCGGTCGTTGTCATTCATTTGGCGGCGGGGCGATCGAAGGACCCGGGAGGTATGAGATGTTTGAGATGGCGGTCGGGATGAGGGAAAGGACGACAGCGAGGTTCGGCGGGGAATGGACGAGCCCGAGCTGTTGGAAAGGGTCGTAATGGCAGATCTGGGGTTCGAGTGGTCGGCCGCCGTCGTCATGTTTGACCTAGTGGCGTGCAGCGTCCAGGGAGCGCCAGGCGCCTGATGTAGTGTTCAATAGAGCGGCTGAGACAGAGGAAGAATGCCAGTCGGCGGCGACAAGGCCAAAAGCCGAGAGCAAGGCGGTGATATATGGCCCTGGCGCAGCGTATTCGCACTGGTATAGATTGGTGCCGGTGTCATGCAAGACACGCGCTCAGGCACGATAGACTGCCGTGACCGCAGCGGCACTATTCGCCGGCGGAGACAGATGTAGAGCGACACTTGAGACGGCAGGGTTCGGGGGGGGAGCGAAGCGAGGAGCGAAGCGTGGAGCCGCCGCAGGAATGTCGCAGATGTGTCCGATGGCGACTTGGCTGCGGCACTCGTGACCTGCAGGAGATGGGACGGCTGCGGGAGAGTCGAAGGTTTCGGAAATAATGCTTTCGGTAGCGATGGTTTCGGAGACGGGGTTGGCAAAATTCCGGTGTTCGAATTGTTGAAAACGAGACTAGCACCGCAGTGAGCGAGTTCTCTTATCGAGAGGTGGCGCGCAGCGATACAACGAGCGCGGGCTCAAGACTACAACAGCTCGACGACACTCGCAATTGTGCTGGGCTGGATGCAATTGGCGGGCTTGATGGAGGAGCTAGTTGACTTTGAGATGGGCCGTTCGTGACCGTTCGTTGGAGGAGCGAGTTGCGCTACGCAGGGGGACCCCGCCTCAGTGATGCCAACCGAATGGTTCGTAGCCAAGCAGATCATGTGGGCAAGCCGACGGCAAAAATTTTGCACCGATTATTCGAGTTGTATGATGACTGGCGACTGATGATTGGATTGACACGAGTCTCAGTGCCTGCTAGGTACCTGGACGCAGGGTGCTATTGGGCGGCTGACGAAGGAGCACGAAGTCGTCAATAGGCCAGCCCCTGGACGTCGCTGGAGTGGCTTGTCGAGAGAACCGCTGACCTTGTTTGGCTGTGCCTTTCTATTCGGTTGGATTGTTGTATTGAACCAATTGAGGGTTGCGGCTCTGCGTCCTGCACGAGTGCTGCTGCTGCGTTACTCTCAGCCATACAGCCCGCTGGTTTCAAGTACAATGACTGGAGCTGGCTGGCTCCTGATGAGCCACAGTGCCGATTATGTGGCTTGGCTTCAAATAGTGTCTGCTGCTGTGGCACGAACGAGTATTGGTGCCAATACCACACAATGCTCGCACACGCTGTGCGATTGATAAAATCCCCCTTTTTTTGCTTTGGGCAAATTTCGTCCATTTGGGTTTATCACGTAGAAAGTACCTTTGAAAGGACCGTTGACCGCTTTGTACTACATATCCAGCGACCTAGGTAGCGTGGTAGGGTGCAGAACTCTACAGTGCGCCACATATCCGCCTCACCCACACCCCACTATCTACCTGATTAATGTGGCGAGGCTGCCGTTGTCTGGTGGCTCATTTGTTTACTTTGGTAGCCTCGCTTCCCCACGCTCCCTTGTTGTGCTGAGACTGACCTCTCCTCCTGTCCTAGAAATTTGTGCATAATCCCTTCTAGCTCTTGCACCAGTTGCATATCTTCATTTCGTTTATTGTGCTTTGTTTCTACATCTGGAAGCTCCAGTTTTTGACTAACTGGCATCTCTGTTAGCGCTCCCTCACACATGTTCTCTGGCCAACCACGGTCATCAGATCCGCGCGACACAATGGTACGGGATCCCGCAAGCTTGGCGGCGCATTGTCACGCTTCCTTCTAACCAGCTGTCAAGTCTACATCATCACCTTACAAGGCCTCACCTCTAGGATACCCGGCCTCGCCCACACGCAGCTCGCCCTTTCGCCGCCCAGAGTCTCCCTCATCGCCGTCGCCGCTGCGCTTCTCAACGCCAACCGGATCGCCGACGAAGCCCAGGCCCCAGAGCGGAGGACCAGGTCGATTCTCACAGCCCGGTACACCGACAGCCACCCAAATTAGCTGGACCCCGAGACCGCATTCGTCATCTCAACATAGACCAGGATTCAACATGCCTACACCTCGTACCGGAGTAGCGCAGGCCATGGGCCATGGAAACGCCCTTTCACAGCTGCAGCCCGCGCAGGTCCGCGGGCTGCGCGACAGCTTCCAAATACTCGATCGTGATTGCGACGGTGCTATAAATAGAGAAGATGTGGCTGAGATGTTGCAGCAACTTGGTTCGTACATTTGTCAATCATGTGTTTGCTTGAGCTGTACTGACTTCGTACATTAGGCCTCCCCTCGGGCCACTCGGATATCGGTCGATTCTTTCCACCTTCTAAACCACAAACCATTACCTTGGCGGCATTCTTGAACTCGCTGGCCGAAAGCCTTGCGGCTCTGTCGGACAGCAGTGAGTTATTGTCTGCGTTTTCGGCTTTTGACGATGATGACAGCGGCCAGATTGACTGGGCGGAGCTGCGTGATGCACTGGTGAAAACAGCGCCGGAGCCTGGTGTGAGGCCACTTACTGCAGCTGACGTTGACTCCGCTGTGAGCGGCTTCACTGGCCGCCGCGCATTCAATAGAAATATGAATGCTCAGCTAGGGGCGAAGCGCGGCGACGTCTTTCGATACAATGATTTTGTCAACTCTATTGCGGGCGTAAGTACATCTGGAGAGGCAGCGTCCAGCGGCAACGCGGCTGCGTAGTTGTTGCGAGTAATGATTCAAGAACAAAGATGATATCATATGTATTGTGGTCTAAGGAGCTTTTTGCGTCACGGTGGCATTCGTGGGACATTCGGGACTGGTGCTTGTTTTGGTACATTGTTCAATTAGAGATTCTAGTATGGTGTATTGATTGAATGCCGAAAATGTAAGATCATATTGATCCTGTTTTGACTTTGAGTTGCGTTGCTGTTGCCCCCTCCCCCCCCCCCCCCCCCCCCAAAAAAAAAAGTCAGTACCACCACCGTGCCACCCAACCTCTCACTAGAAAGCTCAGGGGACCCGGACCCTGCAGGCCGACCCGGCCGGTGACGTATAGCGGCGCTCCGGATTTCCATCGCCGACAGCGGCCCCACTGAACCTTCTAGAAGACCACCCGCATTAATGTACACACTCGGTTAAATGCATCAGCGAAATTCACAGGCGAACCGTACTGGACCCAATTTGTAGGGGTTCTACGTAATTACAGGAAATGATAGGGCAACAATGGAACGGCAGAAAATATCACAACTACAGAATTAGAGGCGGATCGTTAGAAGAGAAGCGTAATGCAATCACAAATGGCTGAGTTGGGCATACAATGATACTCACATGCATGCCCAATGCAGACCAACCACCCTTTTTTCTGTTGCTTGCTGCAGTGCTACCGGCCGCGAACTGGACTCGCTGCGAGCGCTGTCTTGTAAGAAGTTGACAGCGAGCCATGGGTCAAATTAGGCAGGCTGGTTAGTGCATGTTTCACCAGGCTATGGGAGGCAGATCCCCTGCAGGCCTCTGAAGTGCTGAAGAGGTTCTCGACGTACAGGGACCACAGTACCTGAGACGGCAGCCCAGCGGGCCGTCTGCCGGGCCCGGTAGCGTACTGGAGCCACCGGAGAAACACCTGGAGAGCCAATGCCAACCACCTTGTAACCACTAAAAGCCACTGAAGAGCCCTCTCTATAGCCCCATCTGGCACCGACTTACAGGGCACTCAGCACCTGGCTCTCCTCATCAATTTCGGCCGTCACTGAATGGTAGGTACCTGGGACAACAAGGCAGCTTTCTCACTTTGCATTTTACACTCTGTCTTCTCCGTCTCTTCTCTTCTACCATTTTCATCTTGCCAATAGCCAGATAGCCTGCCTTCTCCTCTCCGATATCTGGTGTTCCTCGCCTCATCACGAGCAGTGCGGCCCTGTCACCGACAATCTGCAGCAGAGCCGTTTTTCTGCGACGTTCGCAAATCGCCTCGACGCTATTCTACCTATCCGCCGCCCCAAAGCTTCTTTTTTTTATGCTCGACTGGTCTCGCCCGGCATCGCTCTATTGAAATAAACTCGGGGCCACCACACCAGCTCTTACCCGCCAGCGCCAATTCTGCTTGGTGCGCTCGTCGCGCGATTCGCCAGCCCACACACACTCTCTTCCCGCCAAAGGGGCAAAAAAGTGTGCGCCAGCGACGCCCGCTACCACCGACCTATCCGCTCCCTCGTTAAGCTCGGGGTGGCCATTTGCTGTGACGAAAAAGTCTTGTATCCGAAATATCGCTATTTCGGGACGCCGCCTTTACGCCTACCCACGTCTGTCCGTCCAGTACCGAACCGGCCCCAAATGAAGAAGCTCTTTGGAAACGGAAAGAAATCGGCATCCGACAAGCACACTTCCTCTCCCAGTCTGGAAGACCTTCAAGCTGCCTACCGTTCTAGTCCAGAGCCCCCATCACCGACCAAATCTCACTCGCGCTCTCCCAAAAAGTCTTCTCGCTCGGAGCACCCGTCCCGCGAATCAAAGTTGTCGCCGCGCAACCTACGCCATTCGAGGCACGCCTCGGATTTGAGCACCTCTTCGCGGCGCAGCAAACTCGACCCCGATACCCATCCTCTCAATCTTCCACCAGAGGAGCGTAAACGCTTCTCTGCCCGCTCATACACTACAATGAGTGCAATGGACATTGATCGCGAGCCCTTGAATGGCCCCTCGACCCCTCCACCAAACCCTTCCGCCCAGACAAATTTCTCCGTGCCTGTTCAAAACGGCGACAGCACCGATGAGCCTCCTGCTCCCCCGCCGCACAGGTCTAACCCTTCTAGCCCGAGTGCCTCGCCGCTCGAAGAGGCTGAGGGCTGTAAAAAGCTCGGCAACCAGTTTTTCAAGGAGAGGAACTACGCCCAGGCCATTGAACATTACAGCAAAGGTGAGCAGCCCTCCAGGAGCACATACCCTCAAGCCTAGCCACGATTTACTGACCCCGAACAGCTGTGGACCTGGTTCCTGACTCTGCGACATTCCTGAGCAACCGTGCTGCCGCTTACATGTCCAATGGACAATATCTTGCCGCTCTGGACGACTGCTCCCGCGCTGCCGACTTGGATCCTCAGAACCCCAAAGTCCTTCTCCGTCTCGCCCGCATTTTCACTGGTCTTGGTCGTCCTGAAGAAGCCATGATCACGTTTGGCAGAATTGAGCCTCCCCCTTCCGCCAAAGATACCGCTCCCGCCAAAGAGATGTTGCATCACATCAGCTCAGCGAAGGAGTCTCTGGAGCGTGGCACTGCCATGTCCATGGTTCTTCATGCACTGGATCAGGCTGAGCGTGGCCTTGGACCTAACGTGAGCAAGCCGCGCAAGTGGCAGCTCATGCGCGGTGAGGCCTACCTCAAGATGGGCCGCGAAAACTCTCTCGGTGAGGCCCAAAACATCGTCATGTCCTTGCTGCGACAGAACAGTCAGGACCCAGAGGCCTTGGTCCTCCGAGGCCGTGTTCTTTACTACCAGGGGGAGAACGACAAGGCGATGCAATCGTTTCGTGCCGCCGTTAGCTGTGACCCCGATTTCAAGGACGCCATCAAGTGGCTGCGCATCGTTCAGAAGCTAGACCGCATGAAGGAGGAGGGCAACGTCGAGTTCAAGGCTGGCCGTCTCGAGAATGCTATCACAAAGTATTCCGAAGCCCTTGAAGTCGACCCTTCCAACCGCGGAATCAATGCCAAGCTGCTACAAAACCGTGCTCAGTGTCGCATCAAGTTGAAGCAATACGATGAAGCCATCAAAGATGCTGACCGCGCGTTCTCTCTCGACAACAGTTACTTCAAGGCGCGAAAGACCAAGGCCAACGCCCTGGGTCTCTCCGGCAAGTGGGAAGATGCTGTCAAAGAGTGGAAGGCTCTCCAGCAAGATGACCCCGAGGATCGGACTATTCCAAAGGAAGTTCGCAAGGCAGAGTTGGAATTGAAAAAGAGTCAGCGCAAAGACTACTACAAGATTATGGGCCTTGAGAAGGACGCCAGCCCTGATGAGATCAAGAAGGCTTACCGCAAGATGGCTGTTAAGCTACACCCTGACAAGAACCCCGGCGACGAGGAAGCCGAAGCCAAGTTCAAGGATATGCAAGAGGCTTACGAGACTCTGAGCGACCCTCAGTATGCACCCCTTCGATCGGATTTAATTTCTGCAGTAAGCTAATACATTTCACAGGAAGCGAGCAAGCTACGACAACGGTGACGATCTTCTTGACCCGTCTGACATGTTCGGCGGCGGCATGGGTGGAGGCATGGGAGGCATGGGAGGCATCGACCCCGAGATCCTCTTCAGCATGATGGGCCAGCAGGGTGGCTTTGGTGGTGGCGGTTTCCCTGGTGGTGGCCGCGCCTTTCCTGGCGGTGCTGGAGGTTTCCCTGGTGGTGCTACCTTCAACTTTAGCACTGGCGGTGGCGGACGTCCCCAGCAGGGCTTCCCTGGTGGCGGCGCCGGTGGCTTTCATTTTTGACAAACGGCGGCCGAAGGTGACTATAGCGATGAGGATGATGACAGGAGGAGAGAGGAAGATGATGACGATGATGTTTTGTACGACGAAGAACCACAAGGACAAGGGCGTGACGATACCCGCGGGCATGGGGGCCAAGACAAATTTGCCAACGTCTTTCAGCCCCGACGCCGACGTGCCAACGAGGATATGGTCGAAAGGATTCGGACTTGTGGCATCATTGTTGTTGCCGCGCTGGTGCTTCTGCCTTGGCAGCTTGTCGCCGCCGGCCTCGCAGTCTCTGCGTTTGTCTATGCGTGGATGGAGTACATTTGGTGGCCCTTTATGCAGAGGCGAGCGGCTACCAAATGAAGGGAGGAGACATACAAAACAGTCTATGGAGGGCGGAGAAGGTTTCTTTTCGTCATTTCGTGTGGCATATCACCTATCGACGTTGTAATTGTTTCATTGTTTCATTGTTTTTGCTTCGGTTTTCTCGTCGTCGCCTTGCAATGTTGCGGTACACACTGGAGGAAAAAAGGATGCGAAAGAGACGGTGCATTACCAAACAATATCATTGTCACGGCGTTTTGCGGTTCTTTTTAACATTCAAAACAAAACAAATGACACAGATTTCTTGTCATGCAAAGAAATTGTTGCTTTACATAGCACATAGAGGCCCGAGATTGTTTTCGGGCAAAGACAATGCGAGTTCCTGGATTCAACACTTGTCTTGCTTTATTTTATTGTGTATCCGCGATTTCAGGATTAAACTTCCATTTTCCTTTGCATATGTCTTGTCTAAACATCTCTGCTGAACTTTGCATTAGAGAATGCTGGGGTATTACCCTACCGTAAACGCCGTTGAAAAAAACAAATCAAAACTATAGTCCGCTCACTTGGTCTCAGCCTCATTTCATCCGTCGCGACTCACACTCTCTTCTTCGCACCCCGTCCTCTTTTGCCCTTGCGGCCTCGTCGCTTGGGCGCCTAGCCCAGAGTCGTAGCGGCGCCGTCTGGAGCTCCCGGCGCAGCAGCAGCAGCAGCAGCAGCAGCAGCAGCAGCAGCAGCAGCAGTAGTGCCGCTGCCCGGGTCCGCCGCCGCCGGTGGTGCTGCCGGCGTCGTGTTGGACGTGGAATTCAGTGCGACGGCCACGCGGGTGCCGCCCGTGGCCTCGACGACTTGGACGACGTCATCGCGCAGCTCAGGCATGGCGGTGGCCACGTTGCGGGCGAGGACATCGCGAAAGGCGCCAAAGGCGCGCATCTTGCCCGACATGAGCTGGTTGCCGCGGCGAACGAGCTCGACAAACTCGCGCGTGTAAATGTCGGGGTTGCGCCCGTTCTCGACGTACTCGATGAGCTCGGGCGGCACCGAGGGCAGCGCGTCGGGCGCCGAGGCGCTCGTGTGCAGCGTCTGGAGGGAGCGGGAGAGGGTCGTCCTGTGCACGAGGGTTGTTTTCCCTCCGTTAGCTGCGGTCGAAGTTGTGAATGGCAGGGATGACCAAGAGTAAGGAAGAGGTGGTTACATTTCGTTGGACAGGACGTCTTTGCTAGGGCGACCCATGGAGTCGTATGTAGAAACCTGCACCATGATCTGGTACAGGTCCTGGATAATGTCCTTGAGCTGCTCTGCGGGGGCGAGATTAGCGGTCGGGTGGTTTGTAGGGATCGAAAGACGCTTCGACGTACGCTCAATGGCATCGTGATTGACTCTGGTATCTATCGGCGCCATAGCTGACGGTCGTGTCGGCGGTTGGTGATGGTGTGAGGTTGAAGGTAGGGTGGGTAGAGCGCGATGTCGCAGGCCAGCGACGATGCAACAGTGGAGCGGCGTGGAGCGGCGCCTCAGCAGCACAAGAGACGTCACCAAAACGGCGCAAGGTTATACTGCGAACCTTTCCTTGATTTACTTTTTTCTGGTATGATCATGTTCTACTTCTGACTTTAAATGATTATATGTACTTTGTTGCCCCCAGCCTACTACAGGACTGAATAAGTATACGAGCGTCCTCGCTACTTAGTATATACATTCTTCTTTAATCGATGGTATCATCGCGCAAGCTGAACAGCTGCTTAAACACCTCCTCAGCGTCCGCACGGATACCATTATGGTACAGCGCGTTTGTAGCAAAAACTTTGGAGCCTTTGACGAGGTGGGCCGTGGCAGTGGCAAAGCCATAGTCGACAAACATGTCGTCGACGTAAGAAACGGCATACAGAGGTACCTCGTTCCTGCGCAGCTGCTCCTGGTCGTACAGAGCCGGCCAGTCGCTCGCGGTCGCCAGCTTTTCAGCGGCTTCGCGGAGGCCAAACAGCTCGGGGTACGTCTCAAAGTGGTCGCGGAAGATCATCTCGCCAGAGAAGAAGAGGGGCTCAGTGCTCTGGGAAACCTTGGCGCCGCGGCGAAGCCATGAGAAGTTCTCAAGCGTCTCGCCAGTACGTTGAGCGGACCAGTTGGACACGGAGCCAGGGCCATCACAGTATATGGCCTCGTGGAGAATGGCATAGATGATGTTGTTGTCAAAGGCACTCCAGGTTTCAATGGTAGATAACGAGGAGCGCGAGAAGAAACCAAAGCTTTCCAGGGAAGCATCCAACGCCAAAATCGCATTGTGCACAGTATCGAAGCCGTCGTGTACACCAAAGGAGATGCCAATGGTCATGAGGCGAGGCACAGTCAATGTGCCCCCGCCAGGAAGCGCAACGCCGCCTTGGCTCTCAATGTAGGCCACAAGTTTCCTGACGCGTTCCACATCCTCGGGGAATTTCTCATAGTAGGCCTTGTTACGCGAAGCTGTATGGGCAAAGGTTGTTTCGTAAACTTCGTCGGCAGAGCGGCCAATGGGGGCCAGGCCGCCGGTGAGGTAAGCCTCTCGCAGACCTTCCGGGTGCATGGAGAGGTACGACAGACTGACGAAACCACCATATGATTGACCAATGATGGACCACTTGGCCTTTTCCCCGGAAAGGCCCTCGTGTAAGCACTGACGGACAGCTTCCAGATCGCGCACCGTGTTGTCCTGGCGCATCAGGCCGAGGTAGCTGGCCTGGCCGTCGGCGTCAGCCGACACCCTTTGCAGCATGGAGAGCGAGACGGGCGTGCTCAGACCAGTACCACGGTGGTCGAGGTAGAGCACCTGGTATCCGCGTTTAAGGAGGTGCTCCGTCATAGGCGCCGATTTAGGCGGGGAGCAGCCGAAGCCGGGGCCGCCCTGGAGATAGACAACGTACGGCTTGGGGGTCGGTGGCTGGTCCGGAGCGGCGAGGGGCGTCTCGCGGCGAGTTGCGAGGCGGCCAAAGAGCCTGATGGTCCCGCTGGCGATTGGGTCGGCATAGTCGAGAGGCACCTCGAACCACAGCTCGGTCTGGGTCAGCTTGCCGGGCACATTAAAGGTCCGGCTGCTTAGCAGTTTGGCCGGCGGGATGGGCAGCTTGACGGGGACGGCGGCGGCAGCCATGGCGGCAGAGGGCTGTTGCAAATCGACTGGCTGTAGAAGATTCCCGGATCGATATCGATGCCGTCGCAGTGGTGCGCGGGGTATGAGATGGAGGAGGACGGCGCCTACAATCGCGGGATGGTGGGGGTTTTGGGGGGAGCAACAGAGCTGGTGGTTAGGCGATAGTGCTTGCGTTAGTGTCGAGAACCCGGCGAAAGGTGTCAGCTTTGCATGATGGAAGCAAAAGATCTTACTTGTGGTGTCAATCTTTGGGCCGATGCCACCCGCCTTTACGTATTGGCACGGGAATGATAGCCGGGCATTACGTATTGGCAATTGTTTGGCGGATGCCCCTGAACAATGATGGTAGGGTGGTTAAATGTAAGCTGCGACATGGTAACCCCAAAGTGGCTGGCAGCACGTCACTACAAATCTATGCAAGGATTCAACGGACTCAAAGATTTGGAAAATGATATTTACTTCTTTTTATACGGAAGTCGCATAATGTCATCTGAATGCAGATCCTTGCTTGCATGCTACCAGCCGATATGGCTACAAAGTGTGTGTGTGAATAATGGAAATAGCAAGCCACCTTGATCTCAAAATACTACTAAATGTATAGTCATAATTTTATTTATTCTTTTCTACCTGCATTTGTTGCATAAATCTTCCATTCGCTACACTGTTTACTCGGTTGTTGACAAACTGATGGCAGCTCGGAGCGCTCTGACTACCGCTTTCAACTCAATTATGAGTGAGTTTGAGTTTACTGTACGAAGTACATCAAGTCTTCTATTATCAGTGAAACCTCATGAGACATGATCCAATCATGATTGCTGCATCGTCCGATCATGCATACTCTCACAGTCCTTTCAGGTGAGGCTCAACTCAAGTCTCAGTAGGAGAGCGCCCCACTCGCGGCCCTGCAAGGCGCTGACGGCTGGCAGAAATTGGCCCCAGCAATGCGCCAGCTGCATAAATTTTTCTTTGTAACGCAGCTTGGGCTGCATTTTGCATCTGTTTATTTTTCTTCATCTTCTTCCACCCCCTTCTCTAAAAAATTTTCGGGTTTCCAAGTTCTTGCGTCTTGGAATATCCCAATTATGAATCTCAACTTTACATACCCTCATTCATGAGTGGTTGTCGCGGAGCTATCCCGATCTCCGACGGCAGGGTCTGCTGACGAATCAGGTTGATGCCGCCACACTTCAGTCGCCCAACCTGCATTCGCCTGCCAACTAGCCTGACCTGACATCACCACCCATCACCATCGGCAACCTCACGATATCCTTACTGACCGTGCATCTCTCTCTTCGCTCTCCGCGTCTTGAGCTGCGGCTGTCGACATGCAACCGCAGCCTATGGCCTACGTTGAGCTCTCCCAGACCCTCGCGGAGTCGTTCAACGCGCTCGCCGACGAGGTTCAGACTCTAGCCGACCGCAAGACGGTCTTGGAACACAAGCTGCGCTTTGCCCACGAACAGGTGTGTTTTTATACTTTCCTTACGGGCGTCTAGTCTGTATCACCAACCCCTTTTACCGGCACTGCACGAACTGAAGCAGCAACTGCTTCTTTCACCGACACAGGGCAAGCGCCCGTGGACAAAATGATGAGTTATCTTTAGCTCTAGATCATGAGTACAAGCCTTGAATCAGCCTGTGCGAAAGACTGACATATATTTAACGTCTGATTATCCACAAATCACTTTTTGTTTGCCTGCTGTCACGTCATGTTTCTGCTCTCACTAATTCACGGCGCAGTTTCAGTACCTCGCCGACAAATACGCTCCTGCCGCGCCAGAGATAGCCGATACGCTGTCCAAGCTACAACTTCCTCCATATACTTCCGTGGATAACACGTCACCCGTTCCACTCCCCCAGCGAACAACGCAATCCTCACAACATCATCTCGCTCTCGTCATTCGTGACGGACGCCGTGCTGCTAGTCGACTTGCTGCGTCGCTTGGAGACGCGAGTAAAACTACTGTTTCTAGCAAAGCTACATTCTCGCACGACTCAAACGAGGACGTCTCATCGATGTCGACGGCGCTAGAACAAGACTTCACGGTGCAAGGCAAAAGGAGTGCTTTGCAGTGTCCTTTTCAGAAGCCTGCTGAGGATGTGAATGGTAGTCAGTCAGCCCAGCATATCGACAACAGTCATTACGACCCCTCAGACCCGATTTGTGCTGCTTTAGCTGAAGGGACCGAATCTTCCCACGCTACGGGCAACGGGACATCGGCCCCCAGCAAATGCCCCATTCGTTTTCTCGACAAGCACAGTCCCGAAGAGGTGGCTCGATATGTGGAAATGCACAAGCATGAGCTGCCCCGCAGCCACGAGGTGTGCCTGAGACGGTACGGCCGAAATGAGCAAGAAGTCCGCAAACTTGATTCCAAGTATGGTAATATCGCCAGCATGATTGAGGATCTCGGACAGCTGCATCAGTCCATGCTTCCTGGGGATGGCGACCACCCCCAGGGTGCCAGTGACGCAGACGAAACCTCGAATCGCCGAGTTGAGAGCTGGGCAAATGGTGTAGATGCTTCAACGCACCCAGATGACGATGACGCAGTACCTGACGATGACCAAGACCGCCAGAGCCACTTCGACAGGCCACTAAAGGAAGTCAGAGTTGGCGAATCCCCAAGCAGGCCATGGGGCATATCGGTTCCCATATACGAGTCGGACGACCGCGATCTCAATCTTTTATCGCCGCCTGCTGCACCGTTGAAGATGCCAACACCGCACCATCCTCCGGCGATACCCGAGGGCGGGCCAAAGAAGTGTCCGTTTGATCACACCAAGTTTGCTTCATTTGCCGGAGGTCGTGGTGAAGAAACTCCGAAGCCTCCGCAAAAGGGTGGACCTGCTCTGCAGGGACTTCCGCCGTTCACGCCATTCCGCGACGAGACTGCCCGTCAGTCGCCTGCGCATGGCGCCCAACCACCTCAGCCAGTATTTGTGGCACCAGACGCCGTCAGAGGCAAGTCTGATCAGCCACAAATGGTCTTTACAGGGCCAGTCTTTATTGGATATCCAATGGACCAAGCTCTGCAGTTCATGAATCAATTTCAGCGTCGTTCTTGATTGTGTTTCTTTCTGCCATGGTTTACTCGGCACTTGCTTATTTTTTTTTTTCTCTTCTTGTTTCTTATTTCATAAGCGTCGGCGTTTGGGTATTGATGATTAACATGATATATCTACTGGTGTACTGTTTCTACCAACTGGCTCTGGCTCTATAATTACAGCATCGAATTGACCCTAAATATAAGATACTCTGACTGTGCGGTGTAGTAGAAAGATTATGTTGGACTAAGTCGGAAATTAATTGATGTGTTTTCTAAACAATGAAGGATTTCCCATGGCACATATTCAACAAACGCCAAACCCACGATTACGTCTATACAATTGCATACATTCTAAGGTTCCTGATTTGCTTCGGCCTTTTCTATTTGATCTGTTCGTTTCTGAGCCTCTCAAGAATTGTCAATACTAGTGCAGTTTGAGACCCTTGGTCGCGGACCTATTGCCGTCGCTGCCGCTGCCGCTCTCCTCGTCCGAGTAGTTGCCGCCCTGAGCCTCCCACATGGACAGGTCGTCGTCGGACATGATGGCGGCGGCGTCTTCGGGATCGAGGAGGGTGGTCTCGGAGTCAACATAGCCAGCACGGCCCTGCTCAGCGTCGTCATCGTCGCCGTCGGCGGCCTGTTCGCGCGCAATGTCGGCAGCGCGCTCCATGGTGCGGCGGTAGATGACGAATCCGACGGCGAGGCCGACGAAGCCGCTGAGGCCCATGGCGGTCCAGTTGATGATTTTGTCGCGAGTGGACATTTCGGCGCCCTTTTCAAAAAGTACGGCGAGGCGACTGCCGATGAAGACGTGGACAAGGAGCTTGACACTGTAGGATGTTGGCGCAAGGTTAGCATGGAGAGCTCGCGCGAGCGTTTGCGAGGTATAAAGAAAGATCTTGTGGGTAAGTGGGAAAGGGGGTTCTTTACCTTGACAGGCCCGTGGAAACGGTAAATGCCAGCGGTGTGATGCTGGGGATGGTGGCGAGGAAGCCGTTGCTCAGGCTAAAGGGCAGCGGGCAGAAGCGGATGGCGGTGAGGTAGAGGAGGCCCTCTTTGCGCATGACCTGCGCGAGGGCGACGAAGCGCGGGTCCCTGCCGACGACGCGCTCGACGAAGCCGCCGAGCACGGTGCGGCTGGCGACAAAGGCGCAGAGGCTGCCGAGGGTGCAGGCGGCGGCGGCGACGGGCCAGCCCCAGGGGAAGCCCCAGACGAAGCCGGCGACGGTGGTGGCGGTCGCGTAGCCGATGAGGGGCGGGAACGAGGTGGCAAAGACCATGGCAAAGTTGATGAGCCAGCCGCCCGGCAGCCGCCGCCACTTGTCGGCGACGGGGCCGAGCCAGTCGAAGAAGGCGTGCGTGTAGAGCAGCGCCAGCAGGGCGAGCACGCCGAGCACGAGTCCCGCGGCGCCGAGGAGGAGCTGCGGGAGGAGGGGAAGCCGCAGGTACCAGGCGAGGAGGCCGAGACCCCAGTCGAGAGCCTGTCGCAGGAGGAGTTGGGCTTGTGCGAGGTAGGACGAGGACGAGGACGAGGGCAAGCCGGTGCTGCTACTGCCGCCGCGGCGGCGGTTGTGGACCCGGGAGAGGCGTTGCGAGGAATCGATGCGGAACCAGCGCGGCGCGGCATCGGCCGGGGAGGGTGACGGCGACGGCGAGGGCGAGGGCGAGGGCGAGGGCGAGGAGGCGATAGATGAGGGACGCAGATGCGCCAAAGGACTGTTCGCCATGGTGTAAAAGCTATCGAATATGTTGTGTCGAGGGGTGGTTGTTGGGGGTCTCTAATTGCGACGAGACTTCAAAGGAGCCCGGCAGCTTGTTGCGGGTAGTTTTTTTTGGCTGACGAGTAGGTATTGTCTCGTGTGGAAACGAAATATGGAAGCGCTTGCTGTTCTACCTCGCCATAACGTAGGATAATCTCTGCTGCTCGAATTCGCTTCGTGTGAGGCCGCGGCGGTGTAGCAGCGTTGCTGTTGCGTAGAAGCCTTCGCTGACGAGGGCTGTCGTCCGGATAACTCGGGCTGCGAGGGGCAGCAAAGTGACACTAGGCAATATACCTAGGCAAAGGGGTCGTCGCAATTTCAGATCTGGCAAAACGATAACTGTTCTTTTTAAAAAAAAAAAATTTGCAAAATAAAAAGGATGAGCCAAGTTGTGTGTGAAGGGGATGGAATTAGTCGTTTGTTTGAGTAATGCGGCATTGTGAGGAAAGGATGAAACGAAATGGCCCGCGTTTTGACTTTCTTCTCTTCCCGAGAGGCCCCCAAGGTCGATGCGTGGCGCGGCGCGGCGCGGCGCAAAAAATAGATGACGTGGACCTGCAGTAGGCTGCGAGGCGAGCCAGTCGCAGCGCTTCGAGTTTCTTATTTATCCGGCCTTGCAGCATAGCTCAGAGGCTTACAATATGGACTAGGTTTTGTTTTCTACTGACTTTAGTTATTTAGACATGGTAAATTTGTTTTTCTGCGCGAGCTGTGCAGCGACAAAGTGCAGCCTGTATTATACTGCTACTGCGCGTGACGGCGTGGTCGAAGCCTGGCTTCCTATTAGCTGGTACTTGTCTGGTATGGCTGCACTGAAACGCGTTCGAAAAGGTAAAGTTGAGAGCCGAGTCAAGTAGACTTGAGGTGATAGGGATTAGCTCGAATTAAATGAATTGGCATTCAAAGGCCCGTAAGTCGCGGTTCTGTCGCAGCCAGGCTCGAGTTATTACCACGTCTGCCACACAGTCGTGTTATTCGCCTGGCAGGCCTCCATGTCTGGAAGAGCCTGACAGAGGCCTGCCCGAGTAATGAGACAGTTGATTGATCGATGCAAATACTTCAAGTGCAAGACTACCAACTTCAACTTAACTCATAAGGAACACGAAGGTAAGCGGGATATGAGAAACGGGCATAACTCCCGGTGTCAAGCACTCAGTTGCCCTAGGGTAGATGCGGCGGCTACAGTGGCTACCTAAAAGTGACGCGAAAAAAAAAGGCATACTACCCTAGAGAGATAAAAATAACTTTAAAGAGCTATAACTAATTAAAGATAAGTATTATATAAAAATTATTTAAAGAATCTAAATCTATAGTCTTTAAATATTTATATTATATAAATAAGATATAATAAATAATTAAGTATAAAAGGAAAAATAAAGTTATAAAACTAGTAATATTTTTTAAAAATAAGCTACTCTATTACTTTAAAGATATCTATTTAGATATATAATAAGTTTTAAATTATAAATTAAATCTTTTTAAGTAATTAAAAAGTAAAATTTTTTATTTCTTATTTTTAAAAATATATAATATTTTTCTTTAACTAATAATCCTCGTTTATAAAAATAGGTCTTTTTTAATTTTATAAAGATTTTAAATATAATTATAATTAATTAATTAAAATTATTATATAACTAAAATAAGTTATATTATATTATTAAGATAGTTAAGTTATTTATTATATCTGAAAAAAATTGTTAGTTATATGAGTTAATAATAATATCTAATATTAGAAAGTAGGTTAATTTTAAACTTTTAGCGTCACTTTTGGGAGGACACTGTAGTGACTCGGATGATTAAGAGCATGGCTGGGTTGGGGCGGGAAGAAGCTGCGTACGAGACAAATACAAGGACAAGCACAAGGTGCTGTCAAAGAAAAGCAGACGATAAGATGAATGAACCTGCTGGATTTCGTTGATGGTCTCGACATCTACTCGTGCTGAGCATAACAGTTAGCTCAATCTGGGCAAAGCATGCCTGCTGTTCTCCACGTATTAGATCGTGGACAGAAGACGGATATTGAGCAATCCCAAAACGACTTTGCCAACCCTTCCAACGATCAAATTTACAAAAATTGTCAAAATACAAATTGCCAAGAATTCATGAGAAGGATGGTCGAACCTTTCTTGTCAGGTTTGCACGCACGAGCGTCATCATTCGCAGCATAGTAGTTTTGAGTGATGCTGTACTGCAGGACAGCCACGGTGTGAACTGTATCTGCCTCTCGACTAATACAACTTATTCACGACAGAAAACCTTGTCTTGTTTACAAGTACCAGTAGAGCAGACAAAGTGTCTGGGACGGCACGAGATTGAAGGAGACCTGCGACCCCGGAGGCGCCGCCACAAACATTTCACGATTGGACATTGGATCTACAGGATAATCTCACCACTAATCCAGAAGCGGCTTCGATCAGTAATGAGAAAAGAAACATGAACAGATTTGCGGGGGGGTATGCCGCAGCAGGTGCGGGTTAATGTTTTAGCCCTTGTTCTGGTGTCTGACAACCGATCAACGCACTTCCATTGGTACGTACCCTGGTAGAGTATTGAGATTCGTCTTGCCGCGCGGGGAGAGATTGGTAATGAAAGCGAGAGAGAGTAAAGTGACAAAGACATGCCAAGGCTCGGGGAGCACGTAGGCGAGGCCAGCGTGCTAAATACATGGCGCGTAACTCTAAAAAGAGCAGTAGTTGGATGGCTTGGTTCTGTACACTGGCGTCGACGCGTTTGGCTGAAATAGTTGCGCATGTTTGGGTCCGCGGAATGGCAACGGCAAGTTGACGATGGACTGATCAATATTACAACAATCAGGCAAAAGAAGCGAACATGCAAAACACAATGTCTGTCGGCGAAGTCCTTGGTCTCGACATCCTTATTAATTTAGGGGTTTGGTGGTGCATGAATGGTTGGCAGGGCTTATAAATAGGCGGTCCACTTGTAGAAGGCTTCCTCGGCTGGCTTGGCCGTGCCTTTCTATTAGCGTTTTATTACTCGAGTCCTTTGACAACTTTCCCCCAGCCGGTGACGTAGTGAAGCGGGTCCTTTTTGGGGGTCCAAACCCCACAGCTTGGTAAGGCATGATAGCAAGGCGTGCGAGGGACGAAGAACATGAAATGAGGTGGTGCAAGTTGGAGAAGAATATCATTGATGGACAAGAATCAAATAACAAAGTATCCACGGATGTGAGAGAGATACCGATGGTGCCGGTCTGGCTTTGAGTCACGGGTTCCCCAGTCTGCCCCCCTCATTCTACGGTTGGACCAAGGTGCGCCCGTTTTACAACACAGTAATCACACTGGGGAGTGCTGTCTTTGACCTAAACAACTGATAGATGCGAACCAGTCTGGGCTCGTACCACTATGCACGTATGTGTGTCCATTTACTATTTCACTCACTACTGATACAGAGGCGCTGTGCCATTTCGAGGCCCGGGCTCCCGACGGCTCTCAAGAAAACGGCTCATGTTGGCTGCTTTTCTGTTGCTATTTCTTTCCGCCGAGTCGACTTGACCAGTGTGAATTGTAATGAGCACTGTGTCGGCGTCAACTAATCCTGGCTCGTTGGCAACAATTAATGAGATGTGAGACGTCAATCGGTAGGGGAAGGAAAACGGCTTCGGTTGTTTCATGATGAGACCCTGGGAAATCTGTGATTTCTTTGCTTTGACCACAAGATAGATGCTTTGTCTCTGACATGGTAGTAGAAAAATCCCATGTCAACGATATGCCCCAGACTCGTAGCATCAGTAATAGCGGGCGCTGCTGGTTGCGCTTGTTGGCGGCGCGCCAGCGCCCCTTTTCAACGGCCCCCCCTCAGTGGGCGTTTGTGCAGAATGGGCTGGTTTTTTCTCTTGGTTCGCCGGGGCGCCCGCCATCATTTTTGAATCAAAACTCAAAATGCGAGAAAGACGAGTAATGTACGTATTATCCAGCGCTAAGGTGATAGTTAGTATAATTCCTATTTTATAGGCAGCGACTCATTAGCCGACTGGTGCGTGAAAATAAACAAAGCACAATCGCCAAACCTGATGACCCCCATCTGGTGTGTGCCTGGGCCTCATCCCGAAATCTCGTATCAACGCCTCACTGGCACGGTGCGAAGAAAATGAAAGAACTGTGCCCCGTCCACGAGCCGCTGTCTGGTTGGCTCATGTGAGGGGCAGGGGGGGTGACCTGAGCCGGCTCTCAGCGTGATCCACCAAAGACCCAGCAGGGACTCAGGGAGCTGGACTTCGGCTTCTTGTTAGCGGCAGTCGATCGATTTTTTGTCTTCGTATTGTGTGGCGGGCTGGGCTGAGCGCAACTACCTACCTAGGGTACTGGGCGGATTGCATGGCACGCGGTGGAAGCAACTTGTTGGAAGCATTCACCGCGTGCGTGGGCAGCGGCCTGGTGTGGTTGTCTTGCATGTTGAGTAGCGCGTGTGGTGCACCATGCTGATGAGTCGCTAGTCATGCGTTCAATCTATTAGAATATAGATGTCGTTATTGAAGGGGTATAGAATATCTGATGGGATGGCCTTGTATGGAGTACCGGTACCTGGGTAGATGTGCTCGCTAACGTGTCTCCCGTCTGCCCGCTTGCTGCACAGCTGCGTCTTTCCGGCCGCAAAGCTCCGCGCTGGTGCACTATAAGGTGCTGCCAAACCAGCACGTGCCCTTCGACTTGAGTAAGCTATCATTTAATCGAGGAAGACTAAATAATAAAAACGAAAGTGAAAAATCGACTCGTTTACCTCCTAAGAAGCTGGAAGCCAACTATCCAGGGACGGCGTCTGTCATCCAGAATTGTCACTACACCACATCCCGCACTGTTCCTCTTTCCACCCCACAACTTGCTCGCACAGTGTCGTCCACCAACATGCGCCTGCCGCCTTGCCTGTTCCTACCTGCCAGTAATGAGTGGGTCTGAGGTATCTCTGAGTAAATCACCACCAAAACTGCCATACATTGCTGCTCGGAATTACCTGGAGGCACTGTAGAATAGCACATAATAGTAGCAGAAATTCCAACATCCACTCCTGCACAGGAAGCCTGTCGACAACGTGGAACCAGGCCTCGCGACCGCTATTACAGCCTTTTTTATTTTTTTTTTCCTTCTCCCCTTTGTCATCTCATCTGTCGCCATTTTATTCAGCAGTCAACGACTGCTCCGGCATCTCTCGGCTCTAGTCGTCGTCGTCTGTCCCTTTTTCTCTTTTGGCCTCGTTTGACACCAGAGAGCCCTTGCGCTGCTTTTCTCGCCGCCACCCACCGTCACCCGCCACCACTGAGCACCTCCTCATTCCCTCCCTCCTCTCCGCCCAACCGCGCGCACTTCCCTTCTTATCGACCCCGACTTACGCCGCTAGTCGCCTCCCGACTCACCCTCCTTTTGCCATTTTCCTCGCCAGTCAAAGGATGCGATCGTCCTAAGAGTGCATTACGCACCTTTGTCAGGGTTTTCTCGTCTCTTTTCCTGCAGCCTCGTCTTCTAGCCTGCGTTGAACTCTGTCGCTCTCGACGTTGATCCTCTACGATTATCCATACCGACGACGCTTGCCTCTTGATTTCATCCCAACCTGCCACCGTTGCAACCACTTTCAAATCACCCTTTCCGACTCTCAGCCCATCAGCAGCTCCCAGTTTTGCTTTCGACTGCGGCTCAGCAGTCTCGCCCGGCGACATGGTTGACGACTCTGTCCTCGCCGCGGCTTCCCAAGTCGTCTCCTCTCTTGCTGCCGACGCCAAGACGGCCTCCTCGCTGACCGTCTCCCTTGGTTCCAAGATCAAACTTCCTGGGGATGATTCACCTGCCAAGAAGTGTTTTGAATTCGAGTTGCAAAAGCTCGCACTGAGAATCGCTCACCTCGAGCGGAGGGCTGCCGCCGCTCCTCCTGCTTCGCTCCCCGAAACTCCAAACGAATGCAACGACCCTGTCTTTGGCGAGGATCCCGCTGTCACCCCCGCTGTCCGCGCTGCCAAGGCAAAGCTTCTTCAGGCTAATCCTGGCCTGGATAGCTCTCGTTTCGGTGGCCACATTACAAAACAGCAGCTCGAGGGCCTTCGTGAGCACGTCGATGGTCAGTCAAAGCTTCTCGACAACCAACGTCATGAGCTGGATGGTGTCAATGCTCAGCTTCTCGAGCAGAAGCACCTTCAGGAGCGTGCTCTCGAGGTCCTTGAGCAGGAACGCGTCGCTACCCTCGAGCGAGAACTGTGGAAGCATCAAAAAGCGAATGAGGCCTTCCAGAAGGCTCTTCGCGAAATCGGTGAAATTATCACAGCCGTTGCCCGCGGTAACCTGACCATGAAGGTCCGCATGAACACTGTCGAAATGGACCCCGAAATCACCACCTTCAAACGCACCATCAACGCCATGATGGATCAGCTGCAAATTTTTGCCTCGGAAGTATCTCGCGTCGCCCGTGAAGTCGGTACCGAGGGTCTACTCGGTGGTCAGGCCCGCATTGGCGGTGTTGACGGAACCTGGAAAGAACTCACTGACAATGTAAACGTCATGGCCCAGAACCTCACTGATCAAGGCAAGTATCATCTATCTTTGTATCTCCACGCCACCCCATCCTAACCCTCACAGTTCGCGAAATTGCCTCCGTCACTACCGCCGTCGCACATGGAGATTTGACCAAAAAGATTGAACGACCTGCTCGTGGAGAAATTCTTCAGCTCCAGCAAACCATCAACACTATGGTGGACCAGCTTAGAACATTCGCATCCGAGGTCACGCGCGTGGCCAGAGACGTCGGCACCGAGGGTATCCTTGGCGGTCAAGCCGATGTTGGAGGAGTTAAGGGCATGTGGAACGACTTAACTGTCAACGTCAATGCAATGGCCAATAACTTGACGACACAAGTACGTGACATTATTAAGGTCACGACGGCTGTCGCCAAGGGTGATCTCACCCAAAAAGTTCAGGCCGATTGCCGAGGAGAAATCTTCGAGCTCAAGTCCACCATCAACTCCATGGTCGACCAGCTTTCCCAGTTTGCCCGCGAAGTTACCAAGATTGCAAGAGAAGTCGGTACTGAAGGTCGACTTGGTGGCCAGGCCACCGTTCATGATGTTGAAGGTACATGGCGCGATCTCACCGAGAACGTCAACGGCATGGCCATGAACCTCACTACCCAAGTGCGAGAAATCGCAAAGGTCACCACCGCCGTCGCCAAGGGCGATCTCACAAAAAAGATTGGTGTGGAGGTTCAGGGAGAAATCTTGGAACTCAAAAATACAATCAACCAGATGGTTGACCGTCTCGGTACCTTTGCCGTCGAAGTCAGTAAAGTCGCCCGCGAAGTCGGTACCGAAGGAACTCTTGGCGGCCAGGCCCAGGTCGCCAACGTCGAGGGCAAATGGAAAGATCTCACTGAAAATGTGAACACCATGGCCTCCAACCTCACAGTACAAGTCAGAAGCATTTCAGCCGTCACACAAGCCATTGCTAATGGCGACATGAGCCGAACCATTGATGTCGAAGCAAACGGAGAAATCAAGGTTCTAAAGGAAACCATCAATAACATGGTTGGTCGACTCTCGAGCTTCTGCTACGAAGTCCAAAGAGTCGCAAAGGACGTCGGTGTCGACGGCAAGATGGGTGCCCAAGCTGACATTGCTGGGCTGAATGGACGATGGAAAGAAATCACAACAGACGTAAACACCATGGCTGCCAACCTGACAACCCAAGTACGTGCCTTCTCCGACATTACAAATCTAGCAACGGACGGAGACTTTACCAAGCTCGTCGACGTCGAGGCCTCTGGCGAAATGGATGAATTGAAGCGCAAAATCAATCAAATGATATCAAATCTACGAGACAGTATCCAGCGAAATACGCAAGCCAGAGAGGCTGCCGAACTGGCCAACAAAACCAAGTCCGAGTTCCTTGCCAACATGTCTCATGAAATTCGAACGCCCATGAATGGAATCATTGGCATGACGCAGCTGACTTTGGATACCGACCTGACACAGTATCAGAGGGAAATGCTGAACATTGTCAATAACCTTGCAAATAGCCTCCTGACGATCATTGATGATATTCTGGACTTGTCCAAGATTGAGGCCCGGAGAATGGTTATTGAAGAGATCCCGTATACGTTACGTGGAACCGTATTCAATGCTCTCAAGACCCTGGCAGTCAAGGCCAACGAAAAATTCCTGGACCTCACCTACAAGGTCGACAGTTCTGTCCCCGATCACGTCGTTGGTGACAGCTTTCGACTCCGACAGATTATTCTCAATCTCGTGGGCAACGCCATCAAGTTTACCGAGCATGGTGAGGTAAGCCTCATTATCAAGAAGAGCACTGTGGCCGAGCAAGTTGGACCTGGCGAGTACGCCATTGAATTTGTCGTTGAAGACACGGGTATCGGCATTGCTAAAGACAAGCTGGATCTCATCTTTGACACATTCCAGCAAGCCGATGGTTCCATGACGCGCAAGTTTGGCGGCACAGGTCTCGGTCTGTCCATCTCAAAGAGATTGGTCAATCTCATGGGCGGTGACCTTTGGGTCAACAGTGAAGCTGGTCGAGGCAGTCAATTCCACTTTACCTGTCGTGTCAAGCTCGCATCGGATGATACTGATAGCCTCTACAAGCAGCTGGAGCCCTATCGCGGTCACCAAGTTCTCTTTGTCGACAGGGCTCAATCCAGCTCCGGCATCGAGATCCGTGCCATGCTAGAGGAGATTGGCATGCACCCTGTTGTCGTCGACTCAGAGAAGAGCTCTGCCTTGACGAGACTCAAGTCCGGCGGCGCCTTGCCGTATGATGCCATCCTCGTCGATTCCATCGAGATGGCGCGAAGACTTCGTGCCGTCGACGACTTCAAGTATCTTCCCATTGTTTTGCTCGCCCCCGTCGTGCATGTCGCCCTCAAGTCATGCCTGGATTTGGGTATATCCTCTTGCATGACTACGCCATGCAAACTCATTGACTTGGGCAACGGCATGATTCCTGCGCTAGAGAACCGAGCAACGCCAACCCTGGCAGACAACACCAAGTCTTTTGAGATTCTACTGGCCGAAGACAATACCGTGAACCAAAGATTGGCCGTCAAGATTCTAGAAAAGTACCATCATGTTGTCACGGTAGCCGGCAATGGCTGGGAGGCGGTCGAGGCCGTCAAGGAGAAGAAGTTTGACGTCATCTTGATGGATGTTCAGATGCCAATCATGGGTGGTTTCGAGGCGACTGGCAAGATTCGGGAATACGAACGCAGCATGGGCTCACATCGCACACCCATCATTGCCTTGACTGCTCATGCAATGATGGGACATCGCGAAAAGTGCATTCAGGCTCAGATGGACGAGTACTTGTCCAAACCGCTCCAGCAAAATCAGCTCATTCAGACCATTCTCAAGTGTGCAACCCTTGGAGGACCGCTTTTGGAGAAGAATCGTGAGCGCGAACTACTTGTCATGCAGGCAGACGCAAACTCGTCGCTACACAAGGAGGATAGCGGATTGCTGCGTCCGGCCATGGAGAGTCGCTCGTTTACCTCGCGAGAGCCCATGAGATCCAGGGAAGCGGCTGCGGCCAATGGCTACGATGCGAGCTCGTCAAGGCAAGACGCAATCTCGAGAACGCGGCAAGAAATGGCTGATACCCGGAGACTCTCCAACTAGAGCAGCGGAGAGTGTGCCAAAGATGTTTGACATGATGCGTTGAATCGGATTACGACCAAGGGAGTTTTTTCATGTTAGTTTTTTTTTTATTCATTTTGGCTTGATAGGCAGCATGGCAAAGCGGATATTCTCTTATCATTGCAATGACGTTTCTCAAATGCCGTTTGATGCAGAGCTCGCCCAAGTTTTTCAACTCGACAGCCGCGCCGAGCGATAATGTGCATGGGAGGGTAACTGACACTTTGCAAGGACTTTGAGCAGACGCGACTTTATCTATTGTACTTTATAGCTGATTATTCCGGTGTTTGTGGAAATTGGTCATTATGGCGGCTACGATACTCGTTTCTTCTGAGTCGGGTAGTGTCAAGAGAGGAGAAGAAACAAGAAAAAAAAGAAATGAAACGAGGGGCCACCTGCAAGGAAAGGAAATGCAGCTGGCAAGGAAGGCGTGAGAGGAAGCTGCGCTGGTGCTGGAGGAATGTGTTGGCATTTGGCATTTCATCTTTCCCCTTCTGGTTTCCTTTTCCTCATCTGTTACTCTGCAGTTTTTAGTGCGTTGGTTTTTAGGTGCGAGAGTGCACTTGTCTTTTCCCTGCGTCTCGTCACGGGAGGTTTTTGTAAGCCGTCTTTGTTTCTCTGTTTTCTTTTACTACGTTACAAATCCATCGTCTTTTTTTTTTTTGGTTTATATATTCCAAGATTGCTTCTTTCTTCTCCCCCACGTGTCTTCTTTCCCATGTGCGAGTTGTTTCATTTTTTTCCACGGTGGCATAGTTGATAAAAGTAGTATTGCGCTTCCAGGCATTCCAAGGTAGAAGAAGGTGATATTTTCTAATTAGACTGTCAATTTGAAGTCTTTTGTTATTGTCATGTACATGTTTGCTGGCCGTTGTGTGATTGGTAGAGCCCCTTGCGATGGCTCGCATCTAATTATGCTCGTTGGATTATTTTGCTCTGATTTTGGTGTTTGTATGACACTCGACACTCTCTCCATCAGGTGCTGCTACTGCCGCTGTTGCCGCCGCCGCCGCCACCGTTGCTTTTGGAGCTCGTCTTGTCGCCGGCACTTCCCTGGCCCTGACCCTGACCCTGGCTGCCTTGCTGCTCAAAGGCGGCGAGCATGGCGTCGAGCTTGGACTCGAGAGTGGTGAGGTTGGCTTCGAGCTGCGCGGCTGTCTGCTCACCCCTGTGCTTGCTCGTTAGCCCATTCTCATCTCCTCTTTGTCTGCCTCTTGTCCCTTTACCCAGAACCAAGTGGAGAAGGAAGGGAGGGGGGGGGGGGTTCTATTACTTTGTAATTTCACGATATGCCTACATTACGAATTAGCTTCTTTTTTGTGTGTGTGTTTTCTTCTTCTTTCTATCTACAAGCGTAGCTAGAGGCCCTGGGCACGCACCGTTGCTAGATCTTGAGGATTGGAAGGCGGCGCCTCGTCTTTGCTGTCTTGCGATGTCATTTCTGAGGCGGATGCCGTATATTTCTGGCGTAGTGCATGCGAGAGCGCACCGAGTTAGGGAGCTTTGATGAGGATATTTTTCAGATTTCCCATTAGGAAATATGGCAATGCAGTCGGGAATCGGCTGCGGCAATGATGGGAATGGTGATCAACAAGTGGCAACCGGCCTAACAGCTTTCAAGTTCTATGAGGTACATTTTCACGTGACGCTTTCGCAGAGATATGTAGAAGCGTCCAAACACCCATCGATTCAACATCTGTACTCGTTATAGCTCAGGAGTTGCTTTGGCGC